AAAGTATCCAATTAATCACAATAAAAAAGTTAAAAAGAGAGCCCTTTTTAAGAGGTGAGCAACTAAGGAGAGCAAAGCCTATGTCATAGGATCAGGTGCCCTCCCTGGGGGGGGGGGGCCCTCCCTGGGGGGGGGCCCTCCCTGGTGGCGCAGCAGGTTAAAGCACTGCACTAAGAAGCTAAAGCCACCTCAGTATGAGTTCGATCCCCGCCTGTCCTGGAGGTGATCCCCATGGTGCGGCAGACCTCTCCTGACCTGCCGCTGCTCCCCTCAGCAGTGTACTGCGTCATTCGGTCTGTTCTGCTCCCCACTCTGTCTCGGGTGAAGCCTCTCACTGCCCTTCACCTCTGGCCTGTACCCTAGTTGTGTATGCATAAATAAATAAATCTTAAAAAAAAATAAAGAAACTAGGGAAGGTGTTGGAAAAGTGTGAGCAGGAGATTTGAGAAATGGGAGAAATAGTGAATGTCGCAACTGGCTCATTTTTGTGAAAAAGAAAATAAATAGCAGGGATGGAGGAGAACTTCACTGTGGCTCTGGGACACCTCCACACCCTCCATCCCTGTCTCCGCTCCTCCAAGCGATTGAAGAGGAAGTTGCAGCTGACGTTGATGCATCAGCATCCTGGCATATAGCCTTTGACCTTCCAATTCTGTCACCTGGTGTGAAATTGAAGTCCTTTGACTTTTTTCAATTGCCTGGTGTTGACCTTCACTGAGATTTGAGCAGTAAAAAAATGGGTCAAGGTTCAGGCCTTCTGCAAAGAGGTGGTTGTGGAAAGCAAGGTAGCTGCCATTATAGTTATATAATCATGGTCCCTGACCACTCACTATCCAGTCATATTTTACTTTCTGTGATTGCCATTTAAACACTAATGATTTTCAAAGCTTCAACACTTCCATTGTCTCAGTTGAGCCTCAAAGCAATACCATGAAATAGACAAAGCAGGTTTCACGTATTCTCATTTTTAGGTGGACAAACAGCCCCAATGAGACTCAATGACCTTGCCAAGTGGAGAGTTCTCACTTTTTTCCTATGTATCTGGGCATAAAATATTGAAACTGTTTTGGATTCAGCTCGTCTATTCTTGGATCTACCAAAGCCTCAAATCTTGTAGGTTGTTTCATGATATTTGCCTCCATTTCTTCCTTGCTGCTTCCTTTTCCACCATCCAGATCTGGGCTTCATCACTCCTGGCTTGAAACACAACTGGAGAGCTGGACTTCCAGATGCCACCTTTTCCTCACACCGGTCCATCCTGCAATCTCCCTCTAGACTAAACTTCCTTAAACATTGCTTCATTATGTCATTTCCCCACTCAAAAATCTTTGTGATTCGCCTTCCTTCTGCATTCAATGGAAACTATTCAGACAGGATTTCAAAGCACTCCTGCATCTGAACTCACCTTTTCCAGTCAAAACAGGTGTTTCAAAATAAAAATGGCCAACAAACACATGAAAGAATGTTCAAAGAAGTGCAAATTAAAACAATAACCATTTTCATCATTCAAATCAGCAAAGTTTTGCATGTGGTATCTTATACTACAAAACTGCTCACATACTATTCAGATCGGGCAGGAGAGTGTCAAAATAAGCCTGCCTTTGCTGATAGAACCATTAATTGGTATATAGTTTATACCACTTGAATATGTGAGTCAAGGGACATAAAGACATAAGTCTATTTCTAGGTCCTATCATTAGAATATAATCTGAGATCAAGAAGAATCTTCATGTTTAAAGATGTTAATTGCACTGTTACTTGTAGTTAAGAGCAATTAGAATGACAGCCTAGTACTAGTCAGTATGGTATATGTGCATAACAAATAATTATATTAAAAAGTGTATACATGGAGAAATACATTATGATATTAAAGGGGGGTCAATATTTAAAGTTATATGATCATTAGGAGAAATTTTATGACACTTGAAGAATTTGTTTTCATTTTCTCCTAGCACATCATCTCAGCCCTTTTTCTTTTTTTCAAATTTCCAGAATCCTCTCCTTTCCTGATTTAAATAAAGAGCACCTGTTACTTACTGGTAACTATACTTACTGGTTACTTACTGAGAAACTTTACTGGCAAATTGTTCAGCCTGCCTGTCCCTTTATACACTGCTAATTTTACTATTAAAGTGAATGAGCTATCCCTATTCCTACCCACAGCAGACTTGACCTGTGACTTTTATTCTATTTCGTATCTTTGGGAATTCTACTCCCTACATCATTCTGTTCCTTTCTTTCTCTCTCTCTCTCTCTCTCCTTCCTTCCCTCCTTTCTTCCCTCCTTCCCTCCCTCCTTTCCTTCCTTCCTTCCTTCCTTCCCCTCTCTTACCTGTTATCCCCATCCATGACCTCCCTGTATTATTCCTATTAGCACAAAATCATGCTGTAAAATTTCATTAAAAAAAAATTTCATTGCTAAACCCTATGCTATTCCGCTAACTCCTTAAAAGTAACCTCCTCAACAGCTTTACTTTGTCACCTGTTCCCTCTTGAACTGGCATTTATCATCATGCATGTGCTCCCACTCTCCATAGAACTGGCTCACTGTCAAATCCAGGGGTGAAATGTTTCCCTTGGTCTTAGCTTCCTGCAGTATGGAGCTAACTATTCTGTCCTTTGTGAACTCTTCCCTTAGGTTCTAGGAACAACACTGACTGGTTTTCTTGCCGCCTCATGGGTTGTTCTCATTCTCTATTGCTGCTTCCTCTTCCTCTAAGATTCAGTGTTCAGCCTCCAGACCCTCTCTTCTCTGTCTCGACTCCCTTCCCGTGAGGTTGTTTTCCTTTTCACAGATTTGTGTGCCTTCAGTACATTCTTTCCATGTAGCTATCTCAACTCCTGCTCCCCGGTGAACCCTTCCTTCAGTACCTGACAGCTACGACACACTCAACCTGTGCAAAACAGAACAGAACTCTGGATTTTTTCCCCTCAACTTGTTCCCTACAGGAAAACCACTATTCTCCCAGTTGTTCAACCATGACCTTTGAAGTCAAACTTCTATTGCTATTTTTCATGCTAATCCATACGCCAGCCATCAAAACGTCTCGAAACCACCAATTGTTATCACTTGCAGTGTAGTGGTTTCAGCCTGGGGCCACAATACCTCTCACTGGCCAGCTTCAGTAGCTCACTGGCTGCCCTCTCTGTCCATCCTTGTCCTGATACTCCTGTGCAATCACTGTGGCTTTCTCCTGTGCTTGCAGAAGAAAGCTAAGTCCTCACCAGTGCACCCATCCCTTCTGCTCACTTACTGTACTCAAGCCACTTTGGTCTTTCCACTGTTGCTACGCAAGCTCATTCCTGCCCCAGGCACTTCATTGCTTCTGCTTAAAAGCCAAACTCTCTAAAATAGCTTCCCCACATGCCTTAATCCACAGTCCCCTTAACCTGTTCTATTTTCCTTGAAGACTTTACCACTACTTGAACTTGCATTATTAACTTATTATAATTCTCCAAAACTAGAATTTAAGCCCTTTGAAAAAAGCATTTATTTGCCAAGGGAATTATTGTGTACCCCGCATCCAAAATTAACTATATTAAAAGGACCTTAAAAAGATTAAAGAAAAAAATACATGGGAGATTAAGATGTTTGATTAGATGTTTGATTGGTTTCTTACATTTGCTTTATGCTTTCAAATATTTTTTATATTTTCTATACTGCTTATAGCTGCTATATTCAGGGAAACACAGACTATTTAAACTGACAAAATATACTCCGTAGCCTGGTCAGATCCGTTCTATCACTTTTCCCTAAACAATGCATCTTCCTTTCAGCTTCATGCCTTTCCTCACCCTTTCCTATCTCCCTTCACCTGGCCCATCTCCTCCCTGTCTGAGTATTCCTGTCCTTAGGTATCTCACTCCCAGACCTGCTTTGAACTTTATTAGGTATGCCATGCTACACTGAGTCATTCGTTCTCATGTACTCAACATTTTCTGATTGCATGTGTGCATGTGCATGCGTGCGTGTGTGTGTGAGAGAGAGAGAGAATGTATTTATGTGTCTGGTATGAGTTATTTTTTCCTTCCTGTCTGTCTGAAAAGTTTCTAACAGACTTACAGCAGAGCAAATGTATCCTGCGTCACTTAGGGACATTTTGGTCAATGAGGACTGTATGTAAGACTGAAGTCCCCATGGACTATGCTTTGGCCTAGGAGTGTAGCAGGCTATACCACCCAGGTCTGTGTGATTACACCCTGACAATTGTGTAGTGATGACATCATCTAATGACATGTCTCTCCGAGTGTTAATCTGACGCTAAGCTGTGTGTGTTTGGGGTCCAGAATTCGTGTGCCCTTTCTAGTAACATCTAAGCTTATATTTACTGAGCACTGACTATCACCAGGCACTTAACCACTCATTTCCCCAGTCTTCAATTAGAAACTAGCTACTTTCATTTTCATCTTATGATTGAAACTTAGAAAGATTAATGTGACTAAATTCAAAGTGGCGATGCTTACTTAAGATATAACCCGAGCTCTTTACCACTACTACAAGCGGAACACAATTTCCTCAGGCTCGCAGGCTGAAAATGTGCTCCCAGTCAAACTGCATGCTCCTGGCCAAGTCGCTGACCCTCACCAAATGTCAGTCTCCACAAGCGTAACACGGAGGCACTGATGCCTTGCAGGGTGGTTGCAAATTCAAGCTATGGATGGGGCCTCGCGCAGTGCCTGGCACATAGCGGGCATTGAATCACTGGTAGCTGTTATTATTAGATAAGCGACCTCCTTAAAGTTGGAAGTGGCGGCCTCATCTTGTTTCTTTCTACACAGTGCGTGGCCTCCACAGCTGGGTTCACAGCTCCGCTGCTGTGGCTGCAAAGGTGCCATTAGAAAGCTTCTGGGAGAGAAAACAAACAAGCAGCCTGGCCCAAGTTACTAGAGCTCGGATTTCCTTGTCTGAATGCATAATCATAGGAAAAGGGTTGTGTTACAGAAGTAGCTGTTTTTGTTTGTCACCCAGGTTCACTAATCCAAACATCTCTCACTCCTCAGGAATTATTTTAGGACCAGGAAGCAGCACGCTGTTTATTGAAAGGGTCACAGAAGAGGATGAGGGCATCTATCACTGCAAAGCCACCAACCAGAAGGGGTCCGTGGAGAGTTCGGCGTACCTCACCGTTCAAGGTAAACAGCTGCTCAGAAAGCAACGAGAAACTGCTCAGACATCTATTTCCCTGTTTGTTTGACCTTCCACCTCCCAGTCTCCTGCTGGCGCTCCAGGCTGTTCCTTTCTCTGACCTCTTTCTCCCCTGCCCCGTCCCTCTGGGAAGGGACTGTTTGGTTCCACCTGGCCAGGCAGAAGGTGAAGATGCTGGCTGGCCGCCCTTGAGGGCCTCCCACTCCCCAGTTTCCCGGGGGAAGTAGCTCCCGGAAGACAGGACAGCCAGTGCTGCCGGTGATGACATGGGCCCTCGGAGAATGTCCGCAGTGGCCACACCTGTGGCCAGGAATTCCAAGAAGGCAGAAGACACATGTGGATGGGAGGAAAACCCACACGTGGGAAATGGGTCATCCTCTCCCTTCCTAATTCCCACGAGTAGACAAATGCTGCTATTGCAAATGTTTTCCTGAGTTGGTTTTTAACACGAAGTAGGCTGTAGAATATCATCAGAGAGAAGCAACACATAATAAACAGACCACATTTAAGAAAAATATTCCCAGTGCTTCTTTTTTTATCGGCCTCAGATAGTTTGGTGAGCAGCAAAACACAAAGAGGCCTGATCCTACCCCTGGCTATGGCCATGTGGCTTCCATTTAGAAAATAGTTTCAATCTCAATTTCAATTCTCCAGTGCCAAGAATTATCCAAAACATAACATTTACAGCATTGTAAAATATCAAATTGGCACCTCTTAGATGTAAATATCTGTGGGACATTGGGGTTTGACATGAAAAGATGGAATGCATTCAGTAGTCTATTTCCAAACACTCACCCGTAGACTTCAGAGTCTGTATTCCTGGGGGAGGACCTCGCAAGAAAGCAATATGCACAAGATAGCATTCTCCTGCCCTGGAAAATTATATTACTTACAGACTGTAACTGAGAATTCAGATTCCTTTAAAAAAGAACATCATCTCCACTCTTTTACAAAGAGATGATTTTAGAGTCTCCTGAAAAATCTGAAACCACTCTACCACAAATTTAGACTTTCAGCAAAAGTGGAGGGTAGCATTCCCCAAATGTTTTTAGCGATGATCCTATTTGTCTCCCAAATAATTCTTGTTTTCCACTATACTTTCAACTCTTGTGCTTATGTGTGGAGAAAACAATGTGTTAAGCATGTACCTTTCTTTAACAGCTCCTTCCTCAAAGGGCTGTTAGTCTAGCTTTTTAAGGAAGACTCCAGTTGTGACCCCAGGGTATGACTGCAGGTCAGGGAGGGTCCTAGGTCTAAGAGAGAGGCAGCAGCAACGAGCAAAGAAACTCTCTCATCCTCCGCTCAGAGGTATTTTCCCCCTATAATCGCATGACAACCCTGTAAGAAATGTCGAGCAGTTATTATGAAAACCCAGAGAACTAACCTAAGTCCTCTAGCCAGAAAGTGGCACATATGCGGTGAAGATAGGCCTCTACCTCAGGGTTTCCACCCACTCTAGGCCACCTTTTCCTGCAACATGTTCCTTCCCTAAGGATCAGGAGTGGTCAGGCATCCAAAGGCTAAGGAGAAATGCTTCTTTGATATTGATACAAGTTTGTAGGTCTCCCCAAAGGCTTCCTTTCCTGCCCCCCCTTCTTACTCCCTTTCTTGCCAGGCTCATTTAGGTTTCCCAAAAGCCACAGTGCTTTGTAGCATCTGGCAGTCTCTTCTGCCACCAGGCCTGACCCCACCCTTCCGTTTGCCAAGTCCGCTCTCCAGGAGGTCTGCCAAATCCTTCTGTTCTCCACACTGGAGCAGTGGGGTAGAGGAGACACCCATATTGGACGAGAGCCATGCATCTAGGCATGGGTGAACTCAGCACACTCACAGGGTGTGGACCTTCTCGCGATGTTAATACAGCCTGGAAAGTCTTGCCCAGGTTCCCTCTCTATATCTGCCAAATCCACCTATCCCCCAAGACCAGTTTAGATACATCTGCTCTGTGATGTCCCGCACAATGACCAGTTAAATCACATGCTCATTCTACTCTTTGCTCCCCACACCATGGTTCTTGGGATTTTTTTGGTCAGTATTTTATTAATTTCTTAGTATTTAGACACAGGTATGCTCCCCTCTCCTACTGAACTGTAAATGTTTTGAGGCAGGGACTATATCTGAAATATCTCTGTACCACATACTGATGGCCAGTGCTTAGCAGGGGACTAATATTTGTGGTAAGGCTGATGCTTGGGTCCATATCTTTGGAAACTGCAGAGGGTACCCAGCCTCCCCCCATTCTTCTCATTCTTGAAGTGCCTACAGAACTTGTCTGCAAGTTCTTAGCAGAGAGATCAAGCCACTAGACTTTCAGTTATCCTGTTATTTGGTTTCTTCTCCATCTGCTTCTAAATTTCTTACAATGAGTCATTTTCCTACCAATGTTTTCTGAAAAGTTATGTCAAGAATACTGCTGTATGGAGGCCTCCCTGATGGCCTAGGGGTTACGTTTCAGGGCTGAAACTATGAAGGTATTTGATTCCAGGCCAGGGAGCTGACCCAGATGGCACAGCAGACCTCTCCTGTCTCATCGACTGCTCCGTCAGCAGTGCATTTCAGTAGATCTGCCTGTTCAGCTCCCCACTCTGACTCTAGTGAATTCTGTCACCCCCTATACCTCTGGCCTACACCCCAGTTCTACACAAAAATAAATATAATCTTCCCCCCCAAAAAAAGAATATTGCTATCACTAGTGATTTCTTAATGTTTCTGTCAGCCTATATTTTTTGCCCTTGAAGGATGGAAAGATAATGTTCATTTAATTACCCATAACAGCCACAATCGCCGATGCTTTGACCTCTGTCATCTCTCAGCCCTCTACAGACTTACCCTTTTCTTCCCTCACCCTGTTCTGATCCACTCCCAAGTCCAGTATGATTTTATTTAGTTTTTGGTTTGTGATTTCTTTTTTTTAAATCAAACTTTGATGTTTACAATTTAGAGCAATTTGGGGAGTACAGCTTCACACCTGGACATGTGCACATATTTAGAGTGATCTCCTAAATAATCATGACATGTTACTTCCTGCTTCAAATCCTGCAATGGCTTCTGGTTATACAAAGTCCTCCCTAGGCTCCTCCCCAACTTACATCTTACCCTTCCCCCACACCTCCTGCTGTGCTAAACTTCCTGTGACTCCCAGAACACAATGGGTCCTTCCTAGCCTTCTGCCTTTATGCACCACTTTCCTTAAGTCTGCACAGCCTTCTCCCCAACTTGTTCCCTCTCTGGACAATCCCACTCATTCTTTAAAATTCACTTCACCCTTGTGTCACTTTCTCTATATTCAACCCTCTCTCACCATCATTGTGCCCATCACATTTGACTCGCACCTTTAATGTAAAGCTCTCGTTGTTTATTATGCACTTTTCTATCCCAGGGCACTAGATAAAAATTTGTTGGGTTAACATATCTAGAAAGTTATCATTGAAGGCCTGGAAAAAAAAGAATATCAATATATTGTGTTTAGGCCAATAGAGAAAATCAAGTCAATTCATCATTAACTCAACAAGCGATTACTTTCCTGGGACTACACAGGACATGGAAGCATGTCCTGATCTTGAAGCTCAGAAAGTTTTGAAAACCTACTTGGAAGAAGATTAAGGAACACATGAAACAGTTTGAACCAGTTCATTTAGCTCCTCCTAAGGGTAAAATAAAAACAGTAGCTTGTATAACTCAGACTATATAATGTGGCTAGTAAGGGCTAAGGGAGTTAAAGAGGCAGAAAAGGACAAGGAGAGTGACTTGGCCTTTGTAGGATGTTGGATTGGCAAGGATGTTGGAAAGGAGGAAAGAAGAGTCATGAGGCAGCTCTGGGCTTCTACCTTAATATCTTTCTGGCAATAACAAAGCCTGAATATTTCCTATTGGCTGGTCCATTAAATTTTCTGAGCAATTGGTACTTCTGACTCATGACCTCTTTTCCCTCATGTGGCATTAATTTTCTATATCAATTAGAGAAGCAATGTGATTTGCAAGGTGGCTGCAGACACTTGATAGACATAACTCCTTCTCTTTACCCACTATTGCCTCTGATTGCAATCCTTTTTTGAGTTTTGTGTCTGCTTTGTATAGTTTTTCTGCCTCATCCATGGCTGTATTTTTTTTTCCCATTTTCAGAGATGACTGTATCCAACCTCTCTGCTTAAAATCAGATTACCTGACCAGTAATCATCAAGCCACACCTAAAATAAGGGAAGCACACATTCGTGAGAGAAGCATTAAGTAAATGATTCATGTCCCAAATAAAGTAAAGGCAAGGAAATGAGAATATATAGCCTATAAATGAGACCATTTGGGTGGTAGGTTTGTTTACTTTAAATACGTAAAGAGCTTTCAGATCAAGGAGACATTTAACTCTGACCAAGAGGGGGATGAAGTTTTAAGAAGACAAACCTTAGTTCCATGGAAAGATATAATTTTGAATGGCAAGGCCTTTTGAGTGTCAAATGTTGATAGGCTGATCTTGTGAGTTAGATACAGTATCTTGAACAGAAGCACTTAGGCCTCATTGAATGAATATTTGATCCTTGGATGCTATTCAGAACAGCTGAATGCAATACCTACTCAATAATTTTATCATTGAAACTGAATTCTTGCTCTAAGGTCATTATGATTTCACTCTAGTGGCGGTGGCTGGATTTCCTAACATCTGCTCATACACCCTCCTACTTACCTGTCTTGTCAAGTTGAGTTAAGAACTAAAACCAGGCAAATGAGTTGTGTCTGTGACTATGTTTAACAGATTTAAAGAGGCTCATGAATGAGCCAGGAAGGAAACTGTCTGCTCTTTTTATTTCCTTTAAAAAAGGATTCTTATACTCAAAGATAAAACAATGTGTTATTTTTGTATCCAAAAAGGATGAGTGGACTGTGGAGTCAAGTAGCTTCTTTAAATAATCACAGGTCTTGTTTGGTTTGGACTGAGCACATGAGCACATGGGCAACCAGGGGCTCTCTGAGGGGAAGTGCTAATATTAAAAACAAC